TTTAAGAAATAATTTTTTTTATAAAATGCTTAACCTTACGAAACTATTTTTTTTTTTTTTTTCGAAGCGGTTAAGTTGACTTTACCGCTTCGAAAAAAATTTATAATATAGATTTTTTTCGAAGAAGCAAATCTATTTTTATAAGATTTGAAATAAAGTTATTGTTACTAATTTTTCAAGGTTTTCTCAAACCTTTAGTTAAGATGCTTTTCTTTTAAAGTTTTTTTAATACTTTTTGTGATCGATGCTTTATTTCAATTGAAAGTCACAATTATAGTTTTTTTAACAACTTTATAAATAAGTTAAAAATTTTTTTACAAAGTTGTTAATTGGTTGAATTGGTCCTTTAGTACTTTTATCTCACTCTGCTTCACTTTTTAACTTAATTTTGCATTTCTACACATTTAACTTATTATATAATAATTTAAATATATATATATATATATATATTTAAATTATTATATATATATATATATATATATATATATATATATATATATATATATATATATATATATATATATATATATTAGGGTGGGGCATAAAACACCTAAGTCAATAAAAAAAATACCATAATGATTTTTCTGGTTTCTTTTGATATCTATATTAAAAATACATAATTTTTTTTTTATGGGTACTCCTATGGTCGATTCCAGCAGTCCGAAATTTTGAAAATTTCTACTTTTTGTAAATAATGAGGGGGGCTGGGTCACTTACCAATATTTGAAAGATATCTTTAAGGTTATTTTTGTAGCCTAATAAATCTAATTTAAGATTATATTTTGTTTTATTGCAAAAAATAAAATGAAATGGTCAGCCCTACCTATTTAAAGACATGCTGTGTATATTTGGGAGTTAGGGGTGGGGGGAAGGGTTCAGTTTAAAAAAATCCGTAATTTTTAAAATTTTCATTTAAGTGTATATAAAAACAAGCAATGGTTATGGTAAAAAATCTCATCGTGAAGTTTTTCCTGTTGGAAAAAGAATCGGAACAATACCTGTCACACAATTGCTAACTAAAAGAACTGTATTGCAGTATTACCATTACAGAGATCTTATGCTAAGAGCTGATTTTCCAAACATTTCATCAGTTAGTGTAGCTTCATGTCCATTTGGTGATTTCTTTATTGCACAATGTGCTGAAATAGGTGGTTGTCTCCAAAAATATTTACTATGCGTCCTTTACGAGGTGAAGAAAATTTGGCAAATAGCAGGAATTCCTTTTGTTAATACTGACAAGCATATTAGGATTTTATTATATTAAAATGCTTTTTAATTTTTAGTTTTATCTAGTTTAAAATTGATATTATACAAGTAACAATTATAAAGTCATAACATTTTATATATTTATAATAAATTACAACAGTTTTAATGCATTCTTTTACTTTAGTTTTAGAGACAAGATTGTTGACTTAGAAAAGAAAAGAAAAGATTTAAACAAACACAGGAACCGTTTAAGTAAAAATTTAGTTTTAAAAAGAGAAACTTTTTCAAGAACGCTAGAGGAAGTACTCGATGTAAGTCATAACAATTGTGAACTATTATGAAAGATAAAACTAAAGATTTAAAAACTAGAAGAGAGGATGTAGATTTTATTAACGACCAGAAAGGAGCGCGTGTTCAGAAAATGTTGGGTAAAGATAAAGTTTCACAAAATATTGTAAAAAATAAAAGAAAAAGAGAAATGAAAAAAAAAATCAAAGTATAAAAGAATCCATAAGAAAACAGAAAGAGTTGGTTACTGAGAAATTTGATGACACAATTAAAAATTTAAATACTTTAGATAATGAGCAAGATGAACAGTATCTACAGCCTTCTATAAAAATTAAAAAATCTAATGCTGTTTGTCTTATAGTTCCTAAAAATATAGGAAAAGATTTAGCTCCAACAGCATCACGATATGGAATAAGTTCTTCTGCACTGAGTGCAACTCTTGCTTTTTTTATAAATAACAGTTCTGGAACAACAGATGATTTTTCTATTTCTAAACAAAGTATTTTGAGGCATAAAAAATCAATTATAAGTACAACTGCCTGTAAAATTAAAGACAACTTTTTTATATTGGCTAAAAGTAAAAGTCTTACCGTGTATTTTGACTCCAAAATTATGGTAGAAAAATTATGGTAGAAAAATTATGGTAGAAAAATTATGGTAGAAAAATTATGGTAGAAAAATTATGGTAGAATTGAGAGAAATTGGTAAAGAAAAAGTTGAAAGATTAGCTGTGCTAATCAGTTCACCAGATCTTTCAGAATTCCAATTTTTGGGTATTTTAATTGTAAAAGATAGCACTGCTGAGTCTCTTGGGAAAGCAATCAAAAAAACTTTACAAGACTGGGAGCTATTTGACTATGTTGATTGTCTGTCCTTTGACACCACAGTCACAAATACTGGTTGGCTAAAAGGAGTCTGTACTCTTATTGAGCAGTGGAGAGGAAAAGCTTTGATTTGGATGGCTTGTCGTCATCATGTCTACGAACTACATATAAAGGTAAATATTGAAAATTAGTCATAAAATATTTTTATATTTATTTATTTATTTAATATTTCTCGATGAATTTAATAACGATTCACCTTATTATTAAAATTTAGTTAAGTGATTTGAAATAAATATATTTTAGCACTTTTCAAGTGTTCTTACTGGAGGTAAAACAAGTGGAACAAAGACTGAGTTATTTGAAAGGCTAAAGTGTAATTGGAAATCGATTCTTGAAAAGAAGATAAATTATGATAACCTAAAGAGATTTGACTCAGAAAAAAAAATTAAATCTTTTTTGGAAAAGCAGGTTGGTTTGATTGTCCTAATTAGATTAATCTGTTTGATTATAAGTTTTAATAATAAACTTTCTTTATTTTTTATTTTAGGCTTCTGAATCATTAAGATTCCTTTAAAATTGCCTCGATAATGATATATTTCCAAGAAATGACTACAAGTATTTTATACAGTAAGCAGTTCTTTGATTAGGTGGCAAAGTAAAAGATTTTCACTTTAGATTTCCAATGGCTTTACATCATGCCTGGTTTATGGCACAGGGCGTTTATTATTTAACATACGACATTCTACAGCCACAATTCAGTAACTTATGTCCTGATATAATATCATTACAAGAGGGAAAGCTGATTCATGAAATTGGTCCATTTACAGCACTATTTTATGTTCCATGGTTTATTAAAGCTCCTATCCCTTCCATAGCACCTTCTTTAGATCTAAAAGCCGTTTTAGATAAATCGCATTTTTTAGATAACTTTTTTCAAATTAACTCTAATAGATATACCACAAGAGCAACAGGGAACTTCACATTACCAAAAAAAACAACAAAGTTCTCACGATTTTCTATTTCCTACCGGGGTCCGTACCTATATAACAAAATAATATCCGAAAATATAGAACTTAAAACATTAAATAATTCTGCCACCTTGAAAAAAAAATTAAAACACCTCATACTTAATATCAAAAATTTTATTGACATGTATTAAACTTAACAACAAGATTTATACTAAAATGTTTATGTGTATCACTGACTGTGTATTGTTTAACCACTTTTAACTATATATAAAAATTAATTAAATTTATTTAACCATTTGAAAAGGTACTTGATGATCAGACTTCATAGTCTTCTGCGAGTCTCCTTTACAACAACATGTTTATATTTGAAGAAACAATAGTTTTTATTTAAAAAAAAAAAACAGTGTTTATTAATCTAACGTTATATTTTATTATAATTGTTAAATTACGTATTCTTATGTTATGTTATATATTTTACTCTTTGCATTAAATTATATGATAGAATTGTAACGTAATGAAGTGTATATTGAAGTTGTAAAAAAAAAAAAAAAAAAAAAAAAAAATATGAAATGATACAATATTCTGAATTATGTCTTAAACCAGCAGAGGCCGTACTAAAGTCACTTGAAAAACACAATTGGTATTTAAATGAAAGATTTGTGATTATGTGTCTCGCTGATAAATGCTTACCTGTAGATCAGCTACATAAATTAGCTCTTAAATTAGCTCAAACAGCAAAGCCTACGAGTTATAAAATGGGAAAACTAAGTTCAGAAATTTTTACTGACAATGAAAAAAAAATAACAAAAAGAATTGAAGATTTTATTGAAAGCTGGTTTTTCTTTGATTTACTTAAAATGACATTACATGAGACAGAATGGCTGAAAATCAGTTCATCAAACTGGGAAACATGTTCAGGTTATATAAGATTTAAAAATTATATCACTGGTCTTCTTGTTGTAAATGACAGTGCAGAACTTGCATTTAAACTTGATCAAGACTTTATTGAAATTTTCCGAAACGAAGAAGATAACCAAGCAACTTTACTGGTTGTTGCAGATCATCGTCTAAAATTTCAGACAATAGAAAAAAAATCTTGGTTGAAAGCTTTAAAATAATTTTTCTTTAAAAAATAAATACAAATGTAAAAAAAAAATTTTATTTAAAATGTTTTTGTTTTTGTTTTTATTTTATTAAAAAACATTTTAAAACATGCGTAAATGTTGCTTCATCGACTATCTTATAGCCTGTCTCGCAACAGAGTGCTGCTACATCGACTGACAAATAGCCAGACTCGCAAAGGAGTGCTGCTACATCGACTGAGGGTTTGGTTTGGGCAGGCAGTCTATCATTTAAAAAAAAAAAAATTTAAGTTTTCAAACTTTTTCTGGTCTGGTTTATTAACGCGCTCTTTAGAACTACAGTTTATGGGAAACTCTTTTTAACTACCATGCAAGAGTATATAAATACATATATATATATATATATATATATATATATATATATATATATATATATATATATATATATATATATATATATATATATATATATATATATATATATATATATATATATATATATATATATATATATATATATATAAAACCCGTATATATATATATATATATATATATATATATATATATATATATATATTATATATATATATATATATATATATATATATATATATATATATATATATATGTATAACAGGGGCGGATCCAGAGGGGTTCAAAGGGTGCTCTAGCACCCGTCAACTTTCAACAAATAAAATTTCTTATTTCGTTGCATTTTTTTATAAATAAAAATTGGTAAAATAGTTTTTTCAACTCAAAATTTGCGATTTCATTTTTTGTGAAGGAAGTAAATAATTACCTATGTTGTTGTGTAGAACTTTCCGTTCAACGCTAGCGTGTTTTATATATATTTATGCTTCGACTAGGAAACTCCCATATAGTCGCTTTCTGATTGGCCTGCTCCCCTCAGAATTATTTTTGATTGGCTTGTATTCTTAAGCTAATCAAAACAGGTTCTGAGGGGTGCTGAGCCAATCAGAAAAATCTCTGAGGGGTGCAAGCCAATCACTCAAAATTCAGAAAAAAGGTTTTTCACTATACTTTTAGTTAATTCGTAGGTTAAGTGTTCTAAACATGGCGGATTCAATGCTTCAAATCATTTTAAAATGTATTGTAGATGAAAATAGAGTTCAATCAGAAAAGGAATCATTTTTAATTTAATATTATTATTTAAGAAACAAAACTCAGTAAAATTAGAGAAATATTTTTGTTTGATGAAAAATCTAAAATAAGTTTATTGAATAAAATATACAAAGCTTCAAGTATGCAGTTTTCTGTATTTCAATCATTTCGAGTAGAAACTGATTTTCAACCAGTGAGGTAATAGTTTGTTTCTTAAATAATTATTATAAATTAAAAAAATATATATTATAAATAAAATTTTTATAATAAAATAAAAAAACAAACGAAGTATTTATGTATGTGTGTGTGTGTGTTGAGTTGATTAATGGTTAAAATAATAGCAAATTAAGAAATCATGTATAGGCATTTTACTCAAATTTAAAAAACCTTTGTTTTAGTAAAATTGTATTCATGCTTAAGTATATATATTTAAGCATGAACACAATTTTACTGAAACACAAAATAAAGGCTATTAATAAGTTTAATAAACATGCTGAAAGTTCACCAATTCACCAAACTGCAACTCTAATGAACAAGTCAAGAAAAATAGAGAAATATTAAACCAATAGTTCTGGCAATTATTATGTGTGGAAAACAAAACATATCTCTCCGAGGTCACAGAGATGATTTATTTTACTATGAGAATGAAAATAGTAACTTTGGTAATCTTCAATCAATTTTGAAATTAATATCTGTGTTGGTCAAGGTTATGACGGTGCTGGTAACATGGCTGGGAACTGTTCCGGTGCTGCAGTAAGAATAAAAACTATTTAACCAAAAGCATTGTATGTTCATTGTGGATCTCATGTCCTCAATCTTTGTGTTGCAAATGCCTGTAACATACAAATAGTTAGCAAATGTTCGTGTTATATCTCAGTTCTTTAATTTTAGTCCTAAGCGTTTTGAAGTTCTGAAAAAAAAATTGAAGAAATGTTTCCAAAAGCTCATCACTCTCGTCTAATAGATGTATGTCGTAAAAAATAGATTGCAGAATTAATGGTTTAGATATGTTTATAGAGGTACTTCCTATTAAAAATTAAATGCTTTGAGCTAGTGATTAATAACAATAAAAAGTCTTAGAATCATGACTCAGTGCGTGATGGAAATAGTTATTTCTTTGCTACTAGATCTTTCCAGTTTCTTGTTACTTTAGTAGTGGTGTCCGACTGTTTGGAAGTAACAAGACCAATTACAAAACAATTTCAATCTCCGAACTTTGATGTTTTTGCATCGCATGAAAAAGTAAATTTGTTACATCTTTCTTTACAGCGACTAAATTCAGACATTGAACACAGTCATGGTGCTTGGTATAGTGAGGCAGTTGTATTGACAGCTAGTGTTAGTGTTTATGAGCACAAGCCTCGTACAATAGGAAAACAGCTTAATCAAAATAATTGTCCTAGTGAATCTATTAATGAGTATTACAAGAAAGTTATTTCAATTCCCTTTCTTGACCATTTATAGCATTAGAAACATTGCTATTTACAATTCCCTTTCTTGACCATTTATAGCAATAGAAACATTTATAATGGATTCTTTGCAATGCCAACATACGTTTTAAATGTTGCTAAATGGAGAAGCAATTTTCTTCTTTTTTTAAATGAGTTTGAGGATGAACTTCCGGAACCACTCTGTATCATGACCGAATAGAACATGTGGGAAGATTACTGGCGTAGTTTTGAAAATTCCCATTCTCTAACCAAACTCCTTACTCTTGTTGATAGAATATCTTTTCCTTACATATTTACCTTAATTCAAATACCTGCAACTATTCCAATAACAACATGCAATTGCGAAAGATCAATCGTCGTTTAAAAACCTATCTACGTAACACAATGTCACAGAATAGATTTAATAGTCTTGCTTTAATGCATGTTCACCAAGGTATCAGCATTGGTGTGAAGGAAGTGATTAATTGTTTTGCTAGGAAAAATCCTCGTAGAATGAAACTTGTAGATATATTAAATTCTGATCCAATTTAAACTGTTTTATTTAATAATATAATATAAATATATTATTTACTGTTTTATATATTTTATTATGTTATTTAATTAGAGGTCCTAGAAAGTCCCTGCAGTTTTTTTTTTGTATTTTTTAAGCATGAAATTTTACTTCAAAAAATATATACAGTAGAATCTTGTTAAGTCTGACTCTCAAGAAGAATAGATAAATAGTCAGACTTGGCGAATGTCAGAGTTAGGGGAAGTTCTCGGTATGTATAGAAAGTTCATTGGGAATTGAAAATCTGACGTAAAAGTTTGAGTTAGCAGACATAATTATAAAGTTTTCATTATTAATAAATTAGCATTATTGATAGTTATAATTATAGTTTAATTATAATTAAAGATAAATTATATCTGGATTTAAAAATAAGTCTGTTATTACAGAATATCATGAAACTCAGAACATCATGAAACTTATTTTATTACTGTTACATAGTTTTGTTTATAACCAGTGTTACCTCACACTCATTTAAAAACATAATGTTATTAAATCTATTCACTCTTGTTAATGTATTTAGTGTAAAAGTTTATTATTAATGTTATTGTTGTTATTACAATTTATTGTAATAACAACAATAACATTAATAATAAACTTTTACAATAATATAGTTATTATGTATAATTATATATTTTGTGCATAAATTTATTATATAATAATATTAATAATTATTTTTAATAGTGAGTTGTAATACAATTGTGTTATAATTGCAATATAATGTGCATGACACAGGTGTTTTTAGAAGTTAAACTAGATGGTTACTTTATATATTTTCAGGTATCTGTTTAAAGATCATATTAGAAGCAAATTTTGAGTTTCATTGAAACTAGATTTTATTAACAGTTTTTTTTATCAGTTCTTCATTTTGTAACTATTCTACTATTTTTTTTTTTTAGTTTTCCTACTGTTGAAATATGGTTTTAATTTAGTAAAGTTTCATGATTTGAAATTTACTTTATTGGTCATAGGCTAACAGTTTAGAAAAAGAAATTTAGTACAGTTAGGGTAAGAAATTTGTTTACTTTTAACATTTCAAAACTGGGTTTTACTGTTCAATTCTTATGCTATTTCTAGTTTATGTTATATGTCGTACGGATAATAAATAAGTTGTGTGTTCATTGTTTGGGTTCATGAAATTATTGTATTATTATTGATTGATTCTTCGTATAACGGTCGATTACTGCCAATAAAAAGTTTCCGCATTACTTTGCATACAAAATATTTTTATGTACACAAAATTACTTTCGCACAGTATTCTTGCCTGTAAATGTAAGCCGAATAAACGGGGGAGGGGTTGTCCTAATAAATAAGAGGTCGGAAATTTTTCTAAAATCTAATAAACAGGGGGGGGGGAGTTTTAATGAACCGAAGGGTCGTCTTAAAATAGTTTTTTTGGTTGGTTGTTCATATTTTCATCTATTATTAAGAGAAATATTTTTCTAAAAGTAAAAAAATTGCAAAAATATTTTATATTGTTTCAAAATTAGTAATGGGGGGGGGGGGGAGGTTCCTAATAAGGTCCGAGGGGTCGGAAAAAAATTAATAAACGTCCCCTCCCGTTTATTCGGCAGGCAAGAGTAATTATTTTTATTATCATTTTTATTAGTGGTAACCCTGTTATTGAATTGTTATTGATATAAAAGTTGATTACTGCTAATAAAATAAAGTCGCTGCATTATTTTGCACACAAAGTATTATTATGTACATAAAATTGATATGTTTATAAGAATTGTAACCTTTCTGATCTGATTATTTAATCAAAGTACGGGCAATTTATTGGGTATAAAATGACGGGCAGACAGGTAAAAGACCCTGAGGGATATAGCCTTTTCATTTGTTAAAAAAAGGAGGTTAAATATTTTAAAAAAGTTGATGAAAAATATAATCAAACTACATACGTATTCGTTGCCTTGAACACCTTTTAAACAAACTTGAACACTTTTGGGTGACCCCGTCCCCCGTACTTTATAAAAACCTTTTTTATGACCACCCCCTTTCATACACTCAACCACCCCCCGAAAAGCGCGGGGGGGAGGGGTTAATGGAAAAACCCATCATCGTCGCAGCACAGCACATATTTGCCAGCACCCCTCAAAAAAAAAGCTAGATCCGCCCCTGGTATATATATATATATATATATATATATATATATATATATATATATATATATATATATATATATAAAATCCGTATATACATATATATATATATATATATATATATATATATATATATATATATATATATATATATATATATATATATATATATATATATATATATATATATATAAAACCCGACGGAAACCTTTTTTTTTTCATGCGTAACATCTGAAGCGAACGGACGTGCACGTCCGTTCGTAGAAACACATGTGTTTCTAGCGTGGACTTAATTTGTAAATAACAAAAGTAATATTAAAATTTTGATAAGATTTTTATTTGACTAACATTATAATATGGATTTAGAAAGTATTGAGAAATTTGTTGCAGATTTACTTGAAAAAAAAACAAAGCAATGCAAACTTAGATAAAACCAAAACACTTTTGAAAAAACAAGAGAAAAACTTTGCGTCTTTAACAGCTGGGAACTTTAAAATGTTCACTGAGAGACTTGACAAGTACGAAAAAGAAAATATAAATAACCTAATAAAAATAATTAAATTCGAAAATGATTTAGAACAAACAAATAAAAAGGTCGTCTCCGTAGAAAATGATTTACTTGAAATAAAAAAATTTAATCAAACCAATAACGATATTGCTTCAGAAAAATTTGAACTTGTGAAATCAAAAACAAAAGAGATAAGTTCGAAGCTAAAAGACAACAGCGAGATATTAAAAGTAAAAATTAAGCTTAGAGAAGTAGAAGATAGATCCAGAAGAAACAATCTGAGAGTCGATGGTTTAAAAGAAAACAAAAATGAAAGTTGGAGTGATAGTGAGGCTAAAGTGTTAAAATTATTTGAAGAAACTCTTGGGTTAAAAGGTATAAAAATAGAAAGGGCACATAGAACTGGTTCTCGAGACAATAAAAAAGTCAGATCCATAGTTTTGAAATTGCTCAATTACAAAGACAAGGAAAACATTCTAAAAAACTGTCGGAAATTGAAAGAGGAAAATATTTATGTTAATGAGGGTTATTGCGTGGAGACGATGCTAATTAGAAAAGAACTACGGGCGGGCATGAAAAAAGGACGAGAAGCTGGAATGTTTGCGTATATTTCATACGACAAGTTGGTGGTTCGCGAATGGTCTCGAAAAGCAACGTAAATATTTTATATTTCTTTTAACGATACTTTCTTTTAATTTTTTATTTATCAAATTTTAATTTAACTTTTAGAAATGGAGAACAATCTCTCTTCTAATATTAATGCTATATTGTTTTTAGCGATAATAACTCTGATAATCATACTGAAACCTTATTAGAAAGTGAATACTATTCAATACTTGAATCTACTCAATATCTCTGTGAGAATAAGAATAAATTTTCAATATTGCATACTAATATTATGAATAAAAACTTCGAGAACTTTAAGTGTTTATTGGGAGAACTTAGTCATGATTTTAAAATAATTTGTTTCTCAGAAACTTGGCTTAAAAGCTATGAAACAAATTCTAATTTTGAGTTAAGAAACTATACATCAGTTCATCAAATGCGCGATATTTGCGTTGGTGGTGGTATAAGCATTCACAATTCTATTGATTTTATTCAACGTAAAGATCTTAATGTAAACAATACATATTGTGAGGCATTATGCGTTGAGATAATAAATAAATTAGCTAAAAATCTCATAATCAATGCTATTTATAGAACGCCAGCTGGTAGTTTAAAAACATTCAAAACTTATCTGCGCACATTCCTAAACACTAAAAATATATTGCAAAAGCATGTTTACGCAGTTGGGGATATCAACATTGACTTACTCAACCATGCCTTAAATAGTGAAGCAAAAACTTTTATTGATATTCTTCTCGAATACAACCTTATCCCAACTATAAACAAAGCAACAAGAATAACTAAAAATTCATCGACATTATTAGATAATGTTATTACTAACAATTTTCATAATAGCCGTTTTAAAAATGGTATAATCAATACTGATTTAACTGATCATTTCCCTATATTCCTTATTACTGAGAGCGTCACTCTAAATAATGCTACTCACAAATCAACAGTATTCATGAGACAAATCAATGAAAATTCCATATGCCAATTTAAAAATTTATTAAATAATTACGTCGATTGGAATCTTGTACTGCAATCACACGATGTAAATAATGCTTATGATTTATTTCTAAACCAATTTTCTAAAATGTATGATAAGGCATTTTCTTTAAAAGTAAAAGCAATAAACTCAAAGTCGGTTGTATCCCCATGGATGACCAAAGACCTACTAAAATCATCAAGGAAAAAACAAAACTTGTTTAATAAATATTTAAAAAATAAAATTTATAAAAATGAAACTAATTACAAAATTTATAAAAGTTTATTTGAAAAAACTAAAAAACGATCAAAAGTAAATTACAATTCTAAACTGCTTGAAAAAAACAAAGGAAACCCTCAAAAAACGTGGAGTGTTGTTAGAGACTTAATTGGGAAAAATAAAATTGAAAAAAATAACTTACCGCAAAACTTATTATTGAGGTAAAAATGATTTATCATAAAGAAGTTATTATTGAGAAATTAAACAATTTTTTTCTTGATGTTGGCCCAAACCTAGCAGCGAAAATTCCAGTTGGTCAAAAAAAGTTTGATTCATATCTTGCAGCAACTGATCTAATTATGGAAGAACCAACTTTAACCAAAAGTGAACTACATACTGCCTTTAATAGTCTGAAAAAAAATAAAAGTGCAAATAAATGTTAATGTAATTAAATCTGTTTTTGATATTATCGAACCTTCATTATTCCATATTTTTTATCTTTTCCTTAAATCAGGTCTTATTCCAGATAAACTAAAAATTGCAAAAATAACACCTATTTTTAAGTCTGGCGATGAGACCAATATTTCAAACTACAGACCAATCTCAGTCTTACCCTGCTTTTCTAAACTAATTGAACGCATTATGTACAACAGACTTTATAAATATCTATCTGAATAGATAGATATTTATATCACAGTAAATCATGAAACTCTTTTGAAAAAATTAGAAAACTATGGTGCAATTTATACTTAAAGAATCAAAAGACTCAAATAATATTGACATGTTTTACCGAACAAAACCTTTTCTTAATAACGAGTCTTTAAAAAATTTATATTTTCGTTTATACACAGCTATCTTTCATACTGTAACATTTCCTGGGGTAGCACTAATTACACTAAACTCAAAAAAATTTATAGTAAAAAAAACATGCTTGCAGGATATTATTTGGGGCAAATAGAAAAACACAATGCGAATCTTACGTCAGCTTGAAGCTTTAAATATTTATAAACTTAATATTCATAAAGTAATGTTGTTTATGTTTAAAGCAAAACTTGGGTTTTCTCTAGTAACATTTCAATCCTACTTTAATGAAATCTCCCATAAATATCCAACCAAATTTTCAGTGAATAACTTTTTGGTTTCCATAAACTTTCTTAAATTAAGTTTGTACCAAATTTAATACCGGGGACCTTCAGTTTGGAAAAAACTTCTTCCTATTTTTAGTAAAAAACAAAACTTCGTTTTAAACTGCACTTTGCAAAGTTTTAAGGATGATTCAAAACGGCATTTACTGAACATGGAATTCGATATATTAGATTTCAAATACCTTTTTTGAAAACAATTTAAAGGTTTAAACTAAATCACTTAAAAATAAATTAAATCTTTATCACTTTCTTTGGCTTTTATTAAAATGGTTTCAAACCATTAGTATAAAAGATAACTATTTTTATGATATCAAATAATCAGCCCAAATACTTATGTTTACATATATTGCTTACATATATTCCTTTTTTTTTAATTAAACAACGCATTTTTTTTTTTTTTGTGTTTTTATAACTTTCATGATTTTTTTTTATTTTATTTAAAATTATTCTGCTGGAAGATTGTTAGCAACAAATTATTTTATTGCTGAAGTTTTTGATTTGTTGTTTTTTTTTGTATTTATACTGTCTTTTTATCTTTTATCATTTATTGTGCATGTAAATTTTTGCGTGACGGGGCTCGGTGATAAGACAACCTGTCTTCTTCTTGCTCCGGCCAGGATTTTATTTTATTGTAATTTCTTTTTTGTAATATTTATCAACAGCAAAATAAATAAATAATATTAAATATATATATATATATATATATATATATATATATATATATATATATATATATATATATATATATATATATATATATAAATAAATAATATTAAATATATATATATATATATATATATATATATATATATATATATATATATATATATATATATCTATATATATATATATAATATAAAACAATATAATAATAAGTAAATTAATTGTAAGTATTTAATGTATAGCTAGAATTGAAATCTCCTATATTTTAATTTTTTACAGCAAATTTCAAAATTCTGTTCGGACAATGGACAAAACCATTCTTCATTCAACTTGATGGACTTTCATTCACATAAACAACATAATCTTTTAACTACACAAACCAAAACATACTGGCCTACACTATAGCTTCATAACTATTATCAGACTTTGATTGTAAATTTTACACATATTTAAAAACATTTTTAAATAATTCATTCTTTAAATATTCATCTCTAATCCACCATTTTTATATAAAATATGCAATGTAAGGTACACAATGTAAAAAGACTTAAAAAACTTGTGTATTAATGTGTATAATGCAAATTCTTATATAATTTTTGTAAACCTATACATATTTTTATAGCATAAAATTTTTTGTTTTCACTTTTATTACATTAATACTTCTATTAAAGGGACTTTTTCACGCAGAAATTTAGGTGCAATTTTAAATTTTACTTTAATATCAAATATTCGTACTGCGTCGGCAAACTTAAATTCATTTTGGACCTTTATTTTTAACTAAATTTCAATGTTATAATCTAAATTTCAACGTTATTTCAACGTAAGTTCTGCGTTAAATAAAAACATTGAAAGTTTCAACGTTAATTCAACGTTTATTTTAAACGTTAATTCAACGTTGATTTTTAACTAAAAATAAACGTTGAATTAACATTAAAATTTTCAACTATTTTTTTTTAACGCTAAACTTACGTTGAAATAGCATTAAAATTTAGATCGTTATTTTTCAACCATACATCAACCAACTCACAAAGTTGAGAGAACGTTGAAATAAAGTTTTGAAATAAAGTTATAACTTCTCAAACGTGAAACTAATTTATTTTTTTTTAATCATGTTCTACGCTTTCTAGATTTTCAGTTTTTGAAAATCATTTTGCTTTCAACATCATATTGCTTTCAATAAAATTAATTAATGAAGAATTATGATTTTTTGATTAAATTTGTATAATAAAGCATAATAAGAAAGAGAGCATAAAAAAAAATATCAACTGCACCAGGCCCTTCCATGGTTCTTGAGGATGTTTGTTTTCACCTCTTTTTAGTCAGTAAAACTTTTTCTTGCCTTAGTTTGACAATCATTTTTTGCCTTAGTTTGACAATCTTTTTAAAATTTACTTGATATTTTTCTATTGAAACATTTTTCTCCGCTTATTTCTCCAAAAACAAACTAATTTAAAAAAATTGTATTTGTTCAAGGTTAAGTTTTTTTTTTATTTTTTACCTTTTTATGAGATGAAGATCAGATTCATTAGTTCCGCTGCAACAACTTTGTAAGCTTTTTTAATTGTTTATTTTATATTTTTTAACGTGACATATTCATTGTACGTGAAATGCAAGAATATAATAGTAGGAAATAACCAACGCAAAATTTTAATTAATAATACAGCCTAAATTTTATTTGTGATTGTATTAAATTGCTGTACTGGTAAGCTTCTAGGAATTCATTCATTGAGTTATTATATTATTCTAAATTATTGTCGCCTATTATAACTCTTAAAGAATTGCAAATAAAAGTAAAACACTTCTTTAAGGTGAATGAAGAAGTGTCATATTTAAGGTTAATGAAGAAACGATGTCATTATTATGGTGAATTAAAAAATATTTCTGCGATGGAAAAATATTGGCAATTTTTTAATTTAGTTTCCTATGATGATTTGCATATCAGGTGGTATAACTACTTTCTTTAAAATGTTTGAAGGAGTTTCTTAATAATATATCCAAGTAGACCTCAACTTTGATAAGAAAAAACTAAACAGTAAGAAGTTTAACTTCTTGTATGTTCTCATTAGGTAAAGATTATTCATATTGTTTGGTTTCACTAAAAAAAGCAAACATCAACAATTTTATTAATGAAGGAAGAAATTTCTGTAAATTTATAACATATAGAACCTTTGTTGATGAGTGATATACTTACATTATTTGGGAACTTGAATTTAAATTTATCCAAAACAAACTAATGACAACTTTCTTCATTAAGGTATGGGGAGAAAGTTTAGGATAAATTTAGCTCAGGGAAGTCAAAATAAACTTCATTGAGGTTATACAAAAGTGTTTGGGGTTAATTTAGCTTAGGAAAGTAAAATATGTTAAAGAGACTTAAAATATGCAATAAAATTTGTTGCTAACCTACTCAATCCTTACCTATTTAATTGGATACCCTGATGCTAAAGGTGTTCTTTTGTTAAATTCGAGTTATCAATTTTTAGATACTTGAATCCTTTTGTGTTTGCTATTAAGTGTTTTGATAACAATTGGGCATTGGCATTATCGTGGGGTCAAATTGGTATTGATAAAATAAATAAGTATAAGGGATTTAGACACCGATATTAGTGTTACCAGACTATTCAGTTTATAAATAGCAGTTTTCGATGAGTTATCAATGCCGTTGTCTGTTCTAATATGAAGAATGAGTTTTCCAGATTATTTTTTTAAGGAGCGGGAATAAATTAAAATACCTTTAAATGATGCGCCATTTAAAACTCTAACTTTAACTAATTTACGAACACTTTTTCATAAAGTCTTGTTTAAAGTGAATCATCATATATTAAAGTATTGAGGAGAACTACAAACTCACTGTATAATTTTTTTTTTTTTTGCGCAAATAACCTTTTGCAAGTTCTTGAGTTACACGTTTGCGACCATGTTCACAAATAAGACTAAAATATTGACTACCCATGTTTACGAATGAGACTAAAATATTTGACAGTTATTTAAATATAATCTATTAAAAAAAGATACAAAAACACTATATACGACCAAAGGTTTGGAGTTTTAGGTAGTTTCAATTTAATAAAACTTTAACTTAAATAAAATTACAGTCTTTTAGATGACGTCTGTTAATTGATTTTATATATTATATATTATTTGCTTCATCATTTGTTCGATCCCATAGATTTAACGTCTTTCAGTTCGTTTTGCAGATGCAAGTTGGACAATCGTTTTCATCAAGCTTGTTTCCATTTTTACAATAAATGAGACATGCTGGACCACATTTAGGTTGACCTTAAAATTTGAAAATGCTTTAAAAATAAAACAAAAAAATACAATTTATCAAATTTACGATTAAAAAGTATTCATACATTTTAAATGGTTAAAAAGAAGCACAAATTTATTTACATATCAAATACAGTTGAATCTAGGTATATCAAAATGTCAGGGTACCGGGAAAAAAGTTCGAGATATCGAAAGTTTGAGATAATGAAATTACACAAGGTAATTTGAGCATGCTCATATTACACAAAAATGGTATCTTTAAATAAAGTCAAAAATAAATGTTTCTATGCATTATTTTTCAAACAAAAATGAATTTGATTTTTAGCTAATATTTTTTTCTTTATGAAAAAATTAATTTCATTATTTTAGCACCAAAATATCGCGCCACAGAATTATTCATTGAAATTTTCATTGAAATTACTTAGTTTAAAGTCCTAAAATGGCAGTGGTTTTTAATTGCTTCTTGAATAAAAACAAAACATAGTAAAAAATTTTAATATATTAACAATAC